AAAAAACAACTTAATTTTCCGGTTCCTAAATGGATGAAAAAGCTCGCGGGATTGGAACTAGTGATAACATAAACGCGAACTTTCTCACCTTTATTTGGAGTTGAAAATGCAACATATCCGCGAAATTGCAACATAAGTGAGGTACAGTTTCATAATTAGTAGTTGGTCTAACACGCATAAAGTACCGGATCAATTTTGGCTCAAAAATAAATATCATTAATAGTTCACAAAAAGTGACATGGACTGGAAGCCAGTGCGAACACGCGCTTTTGTGACTCACTGCGGTTGATGTATAATGGCTGAATGCAGCAGCACCAGCAGCAGGAGCAGCAGCGGTAAAACTTAGTTATATTATGCTATGATCCTATGCAAAAGCTATAATCATACGAAATTCAAGTTTTCTCAACTTGGATTTGTGCTGCCCTGTTGTTGTAACATTTGGCTGATTTGGGACTGAAGTCATGATAAGTCAGAAGATGGTGTAGGCGTAGACTGATTTGTCACCCAGTTCAGATCGTAAATGCTACAAATTCCCAAGTTTATCAAGACGCCCAGAAAACTTTGTTTTGGATATCAGCAAAAAAAAGCTGCGCAAGAAGATCTTCTTTAAGTGGAGCCACTGGAAAAAATTTAGTGAGTAGAACTATATTTTGGCAAATCCTGGCTCACTGAATTTAGATGTTGCGGAATCTCACTGCACAGTATAAGGAAGTGTGCCCGAAATCGATACATAGAAGCGATGTTGAACAGCACCAGTATTTCAGTAACAAAACTGTAATTAAATGGTATTTAGTAGGAAGAAGTTGTCAGTTACGTCTAACTAGGCCAGCAAACACATATGCGTAGAATTTCTTTGCACGTCGAAGAATTGCTAGCCGGCGCATATTTTTTAACAGCCAAAATTCTCAAGCCGCCTAGGACCATTATCATCGCTTTGGAACCAGTGACATATAGATGTAAGGTAACGGTCACTTAAGTAAAAGAAAAAGTGCTGTCTGGTTAGTGTAGTTGAGCAGTGATGTTCAAGTGTCTCTTCGTGACTATGTGAACAAGCAGAAGCTTCATCAAACAGGTGTCAAAATGGATAATTATGCTTAAGGTTCAGTGAATGAGACCGTATTTCTTGTTTTGCGAGCAGTCGCTTACTATAAGTTATAAATTGAGCCAAAAAAAAGAACTTATTCTTGCAACGTGTTCCGCTCTTGAGTTATATTACATCGATTGGAACTAAAATCTGAGCCGTGAATCAAAGCAATAAAATTTGAAAGCTAGATTCAAGTAAATTTTCTCCAAATCACGCAAAAACTCAGAGCTCTAAAAGAAAAGGCTCATAATTTTCGGTTTCTGTTTATAATAGCCTGAATTTGGAACTGAGGTTCAGGGTGAAAAAAAAGAAGTGTCAGATCCATTTATGAACCCGTATATAGTCATAAGCTGAGTTCCTGAAATTTCTGCTGCACATATATATACACATACATGTACACAGACACATAAATGTATGCGGGCATGATCTTCAGATGATGCTTTTTGATTTACGCAAAAAACTATTAAGCAGTAATTTTTTGTGAGAGATATCTCAAAGCTTTAAAAACCAATGAAATGTAACAGAAGCAAATCCTGAGCCCTGCGAACACAAGTAAGTAAAACTGAGTTGTGGAACAGAATTGGTAACTACAACCGCCGTATATTCGAATTCATTGTCTGGAATCGTGCACGCTGATATCCGTCATATCGTACATCGTTTGGATGATAGGGCCCCATGCGAACTTCACCATTCCATTTGAATAACGTTCGCGTATACCTGCCGAATTTATTTGTTTTTCTCAGTGCTTGCAATCCAACGATTCGACACATTTCTGCGCTAGCGTAGCTGTGAACTGATAGCCACGTTCATAGGAAATTTGAATTAACTGTTTTTGCTTAAGAAATTTAGCAGTTCGTGCTCACTTTCGCTTGCAGCTTGCTGCTTAACTGCCCCTGGAATGAAAGCCAATGGCAGCTTTGCCAGCACTGTGTTTGCTTTCTGAAATGCGCTACCAGCGACATACATAACAAACGCCCTTTACATGCAGCGTGAAATATGTGAAAGCATTGTCTTTTGAAAACATAGCTTGAACATGAAGGCCCAGCAGCACAGTTGTGCTCGACCCATGGGCGCTACATTGCGCCGCTTTAATCAACAGTTTGAAGATCACGACGATAAATTTTAATTCATTTAAGCATCTCTCGAAGTAACAAAACCCCTCTATAATTCACTCTTTTTCATAGGCAGAGACACTCGGAATTAGTCCCAATGATAGCAAATGCCAACAGCAATCACGTCGTCAACGATTTCCTCTTTCACAGGTTGCTTAGATGTTTCAGCATCAATTGAACATCGGTACAAACAATGAATCATGAGACTGCTTATCTGTTAGTGGAGTAGAATCCTCGATCTTTAGTACGGAACGAATACGACTTGCCCTTGCACCTTGCCCGCCAGCAATCTTTGAAGATCTTTTTAATATTTAAAAACAGATTAAAACAGTACTGTAGATTATAAAATTTGCTACTCGTTTTTGCTGTTAAACGTAGGGGAATAAGAGGAAGACTAAAACTGAGTTTCTAGCAAATTTTTACTCTATAGGAGTGCAGCTTTTAACGGGGTAAAGGGAGGTGAAAATGAGCAGCTACCGCTCTAGTGTACTGCGTTTCCAATGACCCAGGAAAATTTAAAATTCAATGCAGAAAAATACCATCCGGGCCATTCCTGTGGTGCGTATCGACCCACTGTGCCGGTTATAATCCGCGTTCGTGGATGCGGTCTGGCGTGTTGCCTCAGTGATTCATCATATACATACGTTTGTCGTTTGAGACGTGGTGCAGTTGCTGTTATTTTACAGATGAGACAAACGCCTGCAATGGCAAAAGTGGTAGCTGAAGGGAATGATGGTAAAAAATATGTGTATAAATTTATGAAAAAATAATTCGAAATTAAAAATCAAAATTAAATAGTACAGAATGAACATGGCTAAGTGAAATTTCATGAGATTTCACTTGCATTTCCACTGAAAGATTGTGTGGACTGGTTTTGTTAGGAGATTACATATTAATATGGATTGCTGAGAAAATCTTTGAAGGGTAGAAAGAGTGTGGGGATACGAATAGGAAGAGGAGTGCGACACTGATGTGACAGGACTGGTGTGATTTCACGAACATTTTTCACAAATGGGGCGAAAAGTGGCTGATGACAATGTCATTGTTTTCATAATTTAATTAGAACAATACATTTTGCTTTGTAAATTATATTTGCTGTCTTGCTGAACAGTACCAGAAATCCGTGCTTCTTCGAACAAGCACTGCTTAATAGTTCTCAACTTTAGCTTTGATCCAAATCCAAACAAACGCTTCTAGTACAAGTAAAAATATCAAGGCGAAATTTTTAGCACTAATTTCAATTACTTGCTTCAATTTTTCTAATTTTTCAGCCAAAGGTTAAGCTTAAGTGATATTAAAAAAAAATCAACTGATTGCTGAACAGAAGTTGATAAAATGATTTTTCACAGCACTGAATGCCCATAATAATTTGAAGGAAATGGATCAGTGGTTTTCAGCTGGAAACTGCTTACTCGGCGTGTGCTGTAACCTACACTCATGCGGCGACATGACTGGACTTGAGTTTTTGCGAGTGTCGCTATAATAAGCGTGCACTGGTGAACGCTTATTATAGCGACAGTAATTTAAATTTTTTAGCTTAGTTCATGGCATAAAAAAAGTCTGGAAAGTTGATTTCTTGGTTTTTGCTGCTTTGTACCAAACAATAGGTTATGCCACCAGTACTCCTAACTTTTGGCTTACTTTGAAGCCGTAAACATAGAGCTGAACTGAACTTGTTTTACAGGCCAGTCTTCTGTAAGGCTTGAAAGCTGATTTAGGGCTCCCAGTTTTAGCTTTTGTAGCAAATTTTTCTAAAACTTTTTCATCTGGTTACCATTCTATTTAAATTTGGACTTGGGTTCGAAGGCGCGATGGACACAGATAAACTTAAAAGTTCATTTTAAGCCTCCAACAGCTGCGAAATTGGGGCAACGTGCAGAGAAGCCCAGCATTTTAACAATGGAAGTTGGATAATTCGGTAGTGCACACAAACGTGTTACACATCCTTGATTCATGCAAAAACAGACAAAAATACAAAAGATGGATTCCGATCTTGAAAATTCACTCCGTAGTGAAGTTTTGTTAGCAAACAAAGTGTTTTGGTCGAAACAAGTTACATTATTTAATACAGGGCTAGCTGGCGTCCAATTGAGAGCTAGTTGGTTGTCTTTAGCTTCCTTTTTCTAAATTGATAGTTTTCCTAAATTTTTTCCATTCTCTAGGCTTCCAAACCTCATTTCAAACTAATGATTTTTCAACGCGGATCGTGAGGACTGAGACAGAGTGAGCGATTTTCTTCAGCAACATCTTCACCCATCTCTCGACTTCTCCCGTTGTATATATCATGCAAACTTTCGTTTTTAAAAACAAGCCTGATTCCGCGGAAGGAAAGAAAGACGACTTTAACAAAACTGTTCATTTCAAGTATTCATTTGTCTTTACGGAAGTAAATTGACTGAGCAACTAGACACGTAATAATTTTAAGAAAGTGCCGTTGGTTCACAAGAAAAAATTTCTAAAACTTCTTGTTGGCTGTGCTAAACTTTTAACACGAACCAAAACGGCGGTATTTTTTTGATAACAAAAAAAAAAAAAAAATGATACCCAAAACAAGGAGCAGAATGGCGATGTGCGATCGAGTGGCTGGCATCATCGGTCGAGACGCAGTGAACCGCTGATCATTTCCGTGTTGCATGATTCGGTTCCATCTTCCTTTTTCTCGATCCAGTTCCTCCCAAAATCTGTCATTTCTGTGTCAAAGCCAGCCTATCGCTCTCCGAAACTGAATACCTCTTTTTTTCTGCAATGCGATTGTCTGCGCACAAGCATAAACACAAGCAAGCGAACATGCACAACATTACACTGTAACGATTGCGCCAAGGAATCGAGATGCTTCTGTTCTGGTGATTCAAAAGTGATTTTATCCATACTTTTCTATACTGTTGATACTGCTTAATTTCTTTTATGTGACCGCTGCTGCGGTACAGAAAATCCGACGTTTATAATACAGAATTCCGCGCAAAAAACCTCCCACTACCTGTTCAGCAAACTCTGCAATAGTAAAACTCAGTATTTTTTGAATTTACTTTTGCCGTATTACAGTTACTGTCCGAAATCGTTCTTCAAACAAAATTTGCGCAGTTGATTCAGTGCGTGATAATACGACAGACGCTGATGTTTGTTTATCAGTTGATTTGCACTTGCGTTAAAATACTCCTATCGATTTCGACAGCATGCAGAAGATTGAGGAGAGTAGTGATAAAGGCAAACAGTTGAACCTCAGCTAACCTTGAGATGACAGCAATATCACATACGCGTGATGAGAAAATAAGTATTGGTGGTCATCTAAAGGTTAATGTGATCGTGTGTTTTTTCGGTAAATGTTCGATGCACGTAGTGGATGAAAGACTCGTCTTCGGCTTACCAAATCTATGCACTTTATCGTGATCCATTTGACGCATAAAACGCACTGCAATTTAGTTTCGTGGCTTGCTCCTATATTTTCAAAAATCAGTTATGCAAAAGGGCATACGAAAAGCAGTTTCGTGTAACTTTGAGGGCCATCATTGAGGCTTCTTTTAAACCAGTTCAGTGGCTCAGGACAGAAAGGCAGCGGCAAAGATTCGGGCGGACTGACGGTCATGATCAGTTCGTAATGATGTTTTCGATGAAATTTTGCAAAAACGCGTGGAAATTAATTGCTCTGCAAGGATTCTCATTTACAAAGGAGGATGAAAGGGTCGGCCGCAATATTCGCTGACTGCGAAATACGCAAATTTCGAGAGGTTGTAATTAACGAGTGAAGTTGCATTTTGCATTCTTTCTGATTGGGTGAAACTGGACCCTGGCTGGCTCGTGATTTATGAATCATTCCAGACAAAGGATGCATTCTTCGTTGATAAATGTTGCTTAATTTGTTGCTTGCCCCACATACGAACTGTTATAATGCAAAAAACCCCCCTCTGAGTGCAGCCAAACGCCCCGTGTCCACTTTATATTAGTAATCGATCTGATCCAGCGCACATTCCACTCACTCCTCGCCCTGTGCCTTGTCATTACTGTTTTGCAGCTGGGTAACACATTTGTGATACCCTTTTGCTAGCCGAACTCTTGTAACTTTGTTCCATTCAACCTCAGCCGTTAGGGAAGAAAAACAAGATCGAGCAGATACGGAACGAAGATGCGCAGCAGTGAGCATGAATAAAGTGTACTGCCGACTACAATTCATCCTGAATTGCATTACGAAATAAGGAATTGAATTCCCTGATGCTCCTAGTAACGAACAATCAAAGTCATACTACTACAGCGAAAATTAGTACACATTGTAATGCTCTACACTCAATTAGTACAGAGTTGTCATACTCCTACAAATTTTTTTTTATCATTTTGCTTCCCGGGTTTTTTCTTTCTGCTTCTTCCTTTTCAAGTGAACGGAAAAAAAAACATCACACTAGGATGAAGCAGTCTTTAGCCTGAGGGCAGGTATGCAGTGAAATAAATGAGTACAAAGATGGGGTTTTCTTTCAATAATATGAAACAACAAATCAAAGAAAAGGTAGCGCACATCAGGTGACTGATGCTAGTAAGCGTTTCTATTCTTTTGTCCAGCAATGATTTATCGAAATACCAGAGGATTCAGCTTAGAAACAGTCCAAACAGCATTCCGGATTTTGTCCTTTATTGCCGATCCTAAATTTTCATGTGGGAAAATGAGCAAGCTAAAAATTTGATACCATATTCTCCTACGTCACAGTACCAGCTTTACGTCCTCCTCTGCTTGCCGACTCTAGCGTCATGCCCTATTTAGCATGCAGACACTTTCTTCTTGCTGTTTCACTCAGTCGCTTGTACCTGAAGAAGTGAGATAGTGTCTGAAGCATAAAATGTGTAAAATTTGATGATGGAAGCAAATTTAGTTTTAACACACCTGAAATCACTGCTTGAAATCTAGCGAGGTCATATGATTCTGAACCTCTGTAGAACCATTTCTCAAAATTTCAGCTTCCTAGCTTGTCTGACTGAGAATGCTGAAAAGTGAAAAGTTTCATTTCCAATACCTGTCTCTATGGGGTACGGTTAAATTTTGCTTTTATTTTCTTTTACTTGCGAAGTTCAAATTGCTTCAGTGAATTCATTGTCTTCATTTAACCACTGAAATGATCTGCACCAAAGGTTGTGAGAGTGTTGCTGGAGAGTTAGAAACTATTTATTAATTCTGTTACAAAGCAACTTCTCTTACAGTATTAAGTCATCAAAATTATCAAATTTCCGTTTCTTCGGGCCTGCTCCTGTCTCTGAATTCTTGTGTTTTTTTCTTCAAGATATTGTAAGTTCTTTAAACATATGCGCTGCTATTTATATGAAGGCCATTTGATGTTGCTTTCAAAACAACCTTATTCAGGGAATGTTTGTGGTGCTAATTCTGAACTGCGCGATGCTTGCAGAGTTTATACATACTCACAGATTGGTCTAAATCAAATTTAGAAAGTGAACTTAGATAAACTCGTGCACTCTCTGTTGCATACAGAGTGCACTGTCTTGCGCGCTGTTCGATATGTTTTAGTGTTCTGGGGTTCCTGGATGAGTGCATGTCGGTGTTTGTATGTGCCATGCTTAACCATTCATTCGCTAAGGTGATGCAAAAAATGGCAACATGTACCAGACGGAATAGTTTGTATCAATTTGCATAAATCATTGCTATTCAATTTAGCAGAGCGGGCGAGGAAAAAGGTGTAAGGGGCTTGGTGGAGGGATGTGTGAGTGCTGAAGAGCGGGCGGGGAAGATGGGAGAGAGAGGATGGCGCAGCGGAGGGGGTGAAATAAGGGGTGCAGACCGGGAAGAAGCACTGCTTCCAGAAACGCCAATTTATCTCCACCCCGCTTTTGCACCTCCGCTACAAATTGCTTTTATTCATTGTTTTCAGAAAACAAATCACTTTTTTTACGGTATAGCTAAATGGCATTCCACGTACCCTCCTTGTCCGTCTAAGTTGTTTCCTTCCCCAGTTCAGCGGTGTTCTTATCATTCGTACTGCCTCCTTTACCAGTAAGTGTGACCTGCGTAATTTTTCTCGCTCGTAGTAGACGTCACTGTATCAAAAGTTTGCAATTTTCCCCTGAAGGGAGTTTGCCCTCTCAGCTGTAACGCACTCGTTCAACTAACTTCAGACAGACGAGAGAAGATTGGCACTTTGTTAGAAAACCTCTGTTGCCCAATTAGCCCATTCATTAAATTCAGTGTTAATAGAATCTTGCTTTTCCTTTCTCCGTAAGCTCTATACTCCAACTGATGTCCGCTCAGCTGTTAAGTTGGCAACATACTGAATATGCAATCTACTGTCTGAATTTTGTGCATCTTCAAGCACAGTATTGTGCCAGCTCTACTGAATTTTTCTTTCCAGCAAGTTTTTACCTTTTCGTGAATTTTTTTGGCGTCTTTTGGTTTCAGAAGAAGCGGCTATCTCCCGTCCTTAGCTGTTGGTACTACTTCGATTGAAATTTGATTGTCGCCAAATTATTACTTATTTCAGCTGATCATTACCTTGTTTACTGTAAGTGTATGAATGAAATTCAGCCCCTGCATATTTGCTACTTTCATGATCTGTTTGGCTGTCGTGAATTGTAACTGGACTCGGTGTTTGCACATACCGGAATCGAATACTGTTGATTGTTCCGGAAGGCATTTTTTTGTAGGTTTTTCGAAATTTTTTCGCGTTGTTGTAAAAATTAGCGTTTTACCGACAGTATCAAGAAAATTCACATTTTTGAATAGAAAATTCATGGAAAACCCGTGAATTCCAGAAAATGAGCTTGACATGAAACTGCTAAAGTTTTTCCGAATAATTCCAGAAAATCTCTCACACAGCTCGCTTGAATGCTCCAAGATCTGAATTTTATCCAAATGCAATTGGTGGTCGAGTGCGCGTTTTAAATCTCAGTAGAAATGCGTTCAGATCGATCAATTTCAGCTCATTCTCAGCACTTAGACATCCGGAAGCCCTTGAGATACTGTAAGTCCAGAAGATTGTTTGTCTAATTCCAGTGATTTGATTCTGTTCATGTTTACTGGTTATATCCTAACGCAGTTGTTTTCAGTGATTTATCTCACAATAAGCTCATGTTTTTATCTGCAGGCGCTTTCAAAACTCTTTCAAAGCTTAAAACTCTGTAAGTTTTTTCATTTTACAATTCAGACAGATTCTGTAAAAATGCTTGAACTAATAAAGCAGCTTTATAATCGACTTTCTGTTCTTGCTAATGTACGAATATTATTTAACATTTAGAAGTCAGTTTGTTAGTTCTTATGTTTTTTTTTTTTTTTTTTACATAATTCATGCAGTGCAAAAAAGCATATTGTCAAGAGCTTGTGTTTGGATTTTGTAAGCTCACCTATCAAAGAAGCTGAAATTTCACAGCAGTGGTCTTTGTACCTGTGTAAGCTAAAGATTTCAGATTTAGCTATACACATAGCCTAACTTACATGAACGAACAGATCAAAGCCAGAACCGAGACAACGCTGGCAAAATAATAATTCGGGAACTTGAGTAAAGTGCCTTGACCTTACGCGAATATTTACTTCCTGTGTATTAGCATGTAAGCGTAAAATGTGCTTTTGCGTGCGCTTTCACTGCGTTTTCGGACACGTGAAAATATTTGCAATGAAAAACGATTTTGGGAAGAAGTCAAGCTTGAAAGCTAAAATTTTACGAGAACATTTTCTGCTCACGTTTAATCTTTCAAATTCAGCTTTACTTCATGCCTAAGGCTTCTACGTACAAGCAAGTGGAATTTCGAGTCTGGACGTTGTCCGCACTCATTTAACTCGGGAGCCAGATTGACCCTGGAAGTTTTGCTTTTACGTGGATTTTTGTGATCTTTGTGCAAGTTTGCGAGCACAGAGCTGTTATGCATACCTATATTCCATATTTGGACATGTCAAAGTCCCTTATGCGAAATTATCAGCGTCCCCTCATTACGCCAATCGAACAAGCTAAAAAGCTAAAATTTCTCCTGCAGTGCAACATTCTGGCTCAGCCGATGGCTGTCTCCCTCGAACTGGGAAAAACCGATCAACAAGAACACTGCCAACATGTGTGGTCATTTCAAACGGCTAAGTACTTTGCTATTGTTGGTGATTTTATTGCTGCACGAAATTGTGCAAAAACACGTAACTGCATTGGCAGCTACAGTGCAGGCAACTATTTTCAGTCTTAAGCGGCAGTGCTATGGCGTGCTGTAGCAGCATTTTTCTCCTGCACTTCTTCAGGGTTTTACTCTCCCCCGACAATCTGTAACAGATAATAAAGTTTCAAAAAAGAGATTTCTAGGTAACATGCCTTTAAGGGTTGAAAAATTTGACAACCGGCTTTTAACAAGTAGATTTTGATCATTCACGCATGTTATTTAATTTCCACACTTTTAGTTTGCTAAATGATAATCAAATACATTCACTAAATCGCTCATCGTTTGCTGAACTAAAATCACTGGAGAAAATAAATTTGGACTCAAATCCGCTTTCCTCGTTTCCGGATCGAACTTTCTCTCCGCTTACTAAACTGCGCGATATTAGTATAATGTCCAAGCAGCTATCATGCGACTGTCAGATCGCCGATCTTCTTCGCTTCGTCAATAGGGTATTATTTTTTTTATGCTTTATTTTCATCGGTTTTTAGCTTCTCCCTTTTATAATCCTATTATTCCTGACAAAATTTTTTTGTAAAGCTCTTCTCCATCTCGCATCTTTCACTTGTGACATTTGAAAGTAGATGTAAAAAGTGCGTAACTCTAAAGTCAAAAAATCATAAACTGTAATTTTTTGCAAGTTTATTTGCTGAACAAACTAGAGCAAAAAAATAAAGCTAGCTGATTTGGTTTGAATTCTTAATACGATGAGTAATTCGGAAAATCACTATGATAAAATAAAATTAACACGATAAATTTTATTGCACTTTTGCCCAATTAGGTCTGCACCAACATATTGCTAAATTTGTCAGTCCCCTGAAGCTCACCGCTATTTTTATGAAAGATGAAAATTTTACACGCGGTGATCAGAAAACAAGAATACCTGCTAGTGAAAAAAGTGAATTACCAAGTGTTAGCCTTTCATCCTTTCTTAACAGAACAATATAAGCCATCTCGAGCGGGGACGACAGCCGAAAATGAGGCCACGAAATTCTTGCAAAAAAGATTAGTATGGTTTGGAATTTCATGGCAAACGTACATATGATGGCGATTTTGCAGAATAAGCAGATGAGAGTATCGAATAGGACAGTCTGTGTATTTCCACGTTCACTGCGAGGCATGCAGATTGCTGGTTTGGATGCAAAGGTGCTGAAAAGAAGTTGCGGGAAAGGTGAATATCGTGCTCATAACCTACAAATATTCCTTTAGTGAAGAGCCAAATCATATTTTCGTGAGTATATAGGTGAATTCAATCCTGGTGTGTTCGAAATGGAGCCGGCCTCAAGCTCTCTGATTGTGTATCCTGGTGGAAAAAATAATATCACATGCAAAGTGTCGAATTTCGAAAATGTTTATATGGAATGGCTGAAAAACAATGTGCCGGTGAATGATAACTCTCGGATACGTATCACACGGTACAACGACACTCATTTCTTGTAAGCACTGCGCTTACTCCTGTAATGAATTAGTCAGTCACAAGCCATTCAACGTACACTATCAAGTCTAATCAGAACTAAAATAAAAATTGATAAATTTTTGTGTTTTTACTAATATGATGGGGCAGTGGTCCGTGCTGTAGTTCTAATTATCTGACAGACATAATCACAATGGTGCCACATAGCTAAAACTTAGTTAACAATGGCTTGGTCATCAGGGAGGTTATCTGGGGAATTTTATTGCCCTCGCCGTGTAGTCCTGATCGCGCTTGATTAGACTGCCATGCTTTTGTCGTTTTGTGATCAGACAAGGAGGATGCGAAAAAATTGATTTGATAACTAACTGGCTAACAAGGCAATTTCAAGT